ATTGGATTAACAATGAAATCATCATAAAGTAGAGGGCAATGGGGATGTTCTCGTCCTACAATACTGCCTACTGAACCCTCCAGAGATAGTTTAAAGATTCTTTACTATTATTCTCACTGAAAGGTAAAAATCTAATTTCCCTCCTTTTGAACTTTGGCGTAAGTGGTTTGTTTGACCAAAAGAATCCAGCAGGAGTGACAAAGTTAGGTGGTCCTAAGAAGTCTTGCAGCTTCTGCTAGGACTCTCAGAATGCGTACTTTAGGGAAGGCCCCTTTAGAATCAAGCTGCCAAAGTTTGAAAAACCCAAGCTACGCAGAGAAGCTGCAGCAGGTGCTCTGGACAATGTCCTTGCTGGCATCACTGCCAGCCACAAGTGAGTCGTCTTGGACATCCACCCCAGTCAAGTCTTCAGATGACTCTAGCCCCAGCTGCTATCTGCCTATAACCACACAGGGATCACAAATGAGAAGCACCCAGCTGAACCCAGTCAACCCACAGAAACGTTAAGAGGTAATAAATTGCTTTTGAGGCCACTAAGTGTTAGGGTGGACTTGTTATACAACAGTAGATAACCAGAATACCTCTCCTCCTCAATGATGGAGAAACACTAAAATCATTCCCATTAGGGAGGAGGGAAGGAGTGGGGACAGTAAGGCAGATAGGGAGCATGTATGCTGGCAGTGAGGAGGGTTATAATTTTAAATCTACTTAGTGTTGGGCATGAGTTTAAGTGGTGAAATTGAGGAAAGGACTAGGGCAAGGTCTAGGGAAGAAACTCCAAGTTACAAAAAATTGGTTAAATAAATACAGTGTCCCAATTATGACTATATAAAATCCTATAAATCCACACTTCTATAACAGGCATACTCACTGTATACCACATTACAACATTTCAATGTTATATTCCCATTTACTGTTCTTTTCTTGCAAGCAAAGCTCATGAGTTGCACCAGCGGGGGGGGGGGTGGAATGTGAAGGCATCAATGTAAGAATCATGAGTTGTTCCTATAGAAGGAAGCCTCCAAAAGCAAACATTTATATTGCTCAGGGATATACTTATAAAAAGTATAAAGACATACATGGAAATGAAAACCACCACTTTCAGGATAGGGTTATCTCCTGGGAGATGAGGGAGGGAAAAGCTATCACGCCAGAAATGCGAGGGCCTCCAGCTGCATTTGTCGAGTCTGACATCTTAACCTAAGTGGTAGGCACATCGGTGTCTATACCTTTTTGTTTTTTAAATAATAAAAATTAACTACAACTGAATGTGATGTAAAAAAGGTGAATGATAAAAACTTGCCTGAAAAATGGTATCTGATACACAGCTATACACACAGGCATAAAAATATCAATGCATATGGGGATCACTGTAATAATGGGAATACAGGCAATGACAATAGGGCCATACTTGAAGGGGGCTGCAGTTAAGATTGCTCTTCATGCCGCAGCCTCACCAATCCTTTTCCAAACCAGTGACAGAGCACATCAATTATTTTTGCCACTTGAAATGAGTATAAACTGCCATAAGCACTAGATGTATCCCACACACACACAACACACACAAATGTGCATCTGTTTGTGTGTAGGGATCTCAAAAGAAAAAAAAATACCAGGGGCCTATTGTCAAAGGACTATTGTTTAAAAAGCATGTTTACTTGTCTTTCTAAAAACGATCACAGAATGCTATCATTTTCTATTGGTATGCAAATAATTTTTACTAAATATGAACTTTAAAAGAGAGCGGTTTATACTTGGTCACTTTTTTCCCCTAGTGAATATTATTTCATTTCGGCGTAGATTTATTTTCATGCCAACTAAGTTACCATCATATTTATATTCTCCTTGAAACCAGTCATGGCACCACTTGTATTTCCTTATCTGATGACTTGTTAAGATCAAAGGATCAAAAACCGAAGATCCCAGACCCCTCGGGATTTCAACCCTCTATTTCACCAGAAGCAGAGAAGACTGTCACTGCACACTTGTTTTGCTGAACTGAGGACTGCCACTTTCAGAGCACACAGCATTACTGTGTCAGGCAGAAGCAGCAGCAAGCCATCAATAACAACAAGGCAGTGAGAGATGATGTCAGTTTTTAAATTCACTGGGAACCTACCAGGAAATACATAGTGACAGGCCCCTTCTCCTCTGCCACACTTCCTGTGAGCTCCACCATCACTGACAGTGGCCCCTAATCATGTCCCCCTCCGGGCACTGAGCTTCCGACCCAAGAAGGGGAAAGATGGAAAGAAACAGAAGGTATATGTATTTTGTGCAGGGATGCCTGAGGATCTGGGTCTCCGTCAAAACTCCTACAACTACTAACCTAATACAGCGCACAGCAAACCAATGTATGGACAACACACAAACCACAAAGAACTTTACAGACTCAGAGTTTGTAAACCCCAGGCGCAGCATTTCAGTTTGGTCTTAAACTGTGCTGAATATATCACTACTGTTATGCGTGAATCTATAAAAATGCTCAGAAAGCTCAAGTCAAATTTTTAACAGTGCTCTAAACCAAAACTAAGCTCAGTGCAAACGATGACTTTAAAAATAAAGTCAGATTTGACCCTTTTATACACATCAATGGAACGGAAGATTTTTTTAATGTCTTCACAGTTACAGGTTTTGCTATAATCAAAAATAAGTTAATGAACGGGATTAATTTTATTCTTTTTCTTCTAAAATTTTCCTCCAAATTTACTATCACTGTGGTCGTTTTTCCAAAACAATATAATAAAACAGACTATTAGTTTTGCCAAGTGCTGTGAAGGTTACGAGACAAAGACCTCCCTGCGTATTCTCCCTGTTTTTGCAAAAAAACAGACTATAAAACAGAAAAAGCTTTCTTCAAAGAAATGAGCAGCTTCAGTTACAAGTGAAAAGTCAGCCATGTGTACTAATTCTCGATAATAATGAAGCCAGGGGGCTCCGCGGGGACTTAAAAGTCAGAGCCTGGCATGCTTGGGTGAACTAAGAAGGACAGCTGGCCATGTGACCCAGCCTCTCAAAGGCCTCTGTATTCCCAACTGGAGAGGTGAGCCTGTGGAGCCCACGCGGACTGTCTAAGGTGTGTGTCTGGCTTAGGGCGGGGAAACTCCGTCGCAGCAAAGGAGGATGCTGCTGATTTAAAAACACACTGAGAATGGGATCGTCCACCCCGCTGCTCAGCGAGTTGAAGGGTCTGCATTGTTTTCTACCTACAGGATTGCTTACTTGAAAAATAAACTGTGACTTCTTAAAGTAGTGTTGCGGGGGTGGGGGGGGAGCAAAAAGGGAGGCTTGAAAACCGTGGACCACGGTCTATCCGCCTTTGAGATGAAGGATGGCAAACCTCATTTCACAGATACTTTAAGTAGCTGCAAAGCCCAAGTGGCTCCAATCTTAAGCCCATGTTTAGATCAGGCTTGAAGAAGGGCTGCACCTCTTTACAGTAACTAGGCACCACTTCTGATGCCAACCTGTGCTTTGTGTTTGAAATGGGCGACCACAGAAAAAAAAACAAGACCACCTACGGCAGACAATACGTGCCACAACCCATCTCCCAGACCCACGTGCAGGCAAAATGTTTTCATTAAAAAGATAATAAACCTCCAGGTTATTGCCAAAATCTGGAGCAGTATCACATAATTAATTTCACATTTTAAACTCTGACAGAGATATATAATGTCTTTTCCAGCAGGTTTACAACCTGATTTTTTAAAAGAAACAAACCCCCCTGACCTACAGAAACACCCGTGCAACAGCCCGGAGGCCAGGCTAGGGACAGCTGGTGGACGCGCCCCTTTAACATGAGAAAACCGAGTACCTCAAACGGACACTCCTGTTGTTTCAAATGAAGAGTACTTACGGGAAGAGCAGCTTCTGCACCTCCTAATAATATTCTTTTTGATTATTATTGGATGTCCTTTTTATTTAGCACAATAAAGCCTCCCTTTTTCCACCCTGAATGCTCCTAAAGTTACAGGACAAGGGGACCCTACCTGGCCATCTACGACAGGTCAGTGATCAAACAGAAAGAGAATCAGGCAAGAGCCAAATTCCGTCTATCTCTTCAGAATGACCAGGACAAGGACTTCTTAGCTCCTGCTCCCATTCAAAGCCAGACAGGACAATAAGCCCTTTCCAAACAAAGGTTTAATATTCTCAGGTGTTTACCCAGCATCGAAACGCAAAGATTTTCAAGAAAAGATTATTTTATGAAGGCCATTTCCTGCACAGAACAAGCTACCTAAAAAAGTAAGTGACCTCATCTTTCTTATAAGAAAAGAAAACAGGTTTAGATGGAAAATATACCAATATTGTATTGCCCTAGTGATCAAAGCCCGTTTATTTAACTAACCTTATCTTCAAATAGCACCAGTCTTTGTAGGAGAGTTTAATTTACTTAAAGTATTTGCATTCACATGAACAAACCTGTACATGAGATAAAACGAGACATCATGTTTTGCTGAGCTTAAGAACAAGATGCAGGTTGTTCATCCATATAAAGAAATACTCATTCCAAGCAGTCTCGACAATACGGAGCACACTCAGCCAGTTGTTTCCCAGCATCCTTCTTTCAGAAGCACAGGGAAGCTTGAGGAGGTGCTGGTACGTGGAAGGCAAAGCAAAGCAGAGGGCCATGGCTGCCAACTCCAAACTACAAATTTTAGTGCCTGACCCAGCAGAGGGTGCCATGAGGAAAGAATGTACTACAAATTAACTTTAAGGTTAGCAAAGATTGTTTCAAAGGCCAAACACTTTCTGCCACAAATCACTTCTACTACAGTACCAAACGAAAGCAATGACGGATTTAACAGGCATGACTTAACAGGCAGTAAGATCACGAACATTTACCCTTCCATCTCAGGAATGGTTCTCGGGCCCTAGAAGACTCTGCCCTTGCACAGGATCTGTGGTTGAACAGAAGCCTTAGTCCACATTAGGTTACCACGGTGGGGGTATGCATGGGAAACAAGTCTTTTCAACGCAGTTATGCAAAAGGTACTTACACAGCCGCCAGCAAGAATTTCTGCTGCAAGTGGGACCGAACCATCTTTGCTCATAAATTTATCCCTCACAAAATCATTCACCTTGAAGAAAAATATTTACAGAAGCTGATGAAAAATATAAATTCATTAAACACATATAAATATACAACTGTAAATAATATGTTCTTTTTCTCTGTCAGTATACTGAAGTAATCATAAACCGAATAAATTAAGGATCTTAAAAGAGTTTGAGAAGTACCTTTAATAGCACATATGTACTTTTTAAAAGCTAAAATATATTTAAGTATTCCTGATGTTTCCGGGAGAAAGAAACTGAAAGATAGGTGGCTTAGGGGCACCTGGCTGGCTCAGTGGGTGGAGCGTGTGACTCTTGATCTCAGGGTTGTGAGTTCCAGCCCCATGTTGGGAGTAGCGATTACTTAAAAATGAAGTCTTAAAAAAAAAAAAAATAGATGGCTTACCAGCCTAAAATGCAAATATGTCCGCCAATTACAATAGTGTAAGAAAGACGTATTGACCCCAAGGACACAATAAAAACATATATTTTAGAAGTTAGAACTGGTTTAGAGTCTGATTAAAAATCACTTTCATGTCTGCTAACAAAATTTAATCTAAAACAAAACACATCACCGAGAAAAAGTTGGCTAAGCAGATTTTTCAGCTTAAAAATTTAGTATCTAAGAATTCTCAACATCCGTAACCTTAATTAATTAGTTAAGTATAATGTACTCAAAATGGTATGTACTACAAGCCATCTTAAAAATCAATCATGTTTTTGGAAGACACAAGCCAGAGAAGATGAGTTGTCCCAAGGCCACACAATAACAAAGTAAAAGAATTTTAGGCACCAAGGCTCCAGAGCCCAATCTAAAATTGGGAATTTAACTTTCTGGGGCCTTATGACCTTTGTGATATAAAAGCAGTACCTGTCCATTCCACAAAGTTACTGAATATCTCCCATCTGTCACACGAGAGCCTCACACTGGATAAAGGATCAACTTCAACTAGAACTCAGACCCCTGAACAGGTGTCCAGGCAGATGCTTATAGAATATACCCGAAAAACGAATTCTACCAATGGCACATGTAATGAGCTGGTTTGGGATTCTTCTCTTTCCGCTCATGAATTGTGTGGACTCAGGTAAATACTGAAACCCTGTGGGCCCCACTTTCCTCATCTGTAAATGCTCAGTCCCACTTTGCTGGAGATTAAATAATAACAGATCATACAGGTACATACATGTACCATATATCTGGTAGGGATGGAGGCCAATTTAGCAGCAGCTGCTGCCACTTTGGTGGTGGTGGTGGTTGGTGGCGATGGTGGTAGTTGATGGTGGTGGTGGTTGATGGTGGTGGTGGCTGATGGTGGTAGTGGTGGTGGTAGCAGCCACCACAAGTCCTGTTCAAATATAGCATCACATTTTTGGATGTTCAGTGGAGGACAGTGAAAAAACTGTGTGTGACGAGTGCCTACGTTCGAATTAGCTAGCACCTCTGAGGAAACACAAACCTGCTGTTTCCCATAAGAATATCTGCTGGATTCCTGAGTGTGCAAACTCTCTGCATAAGAAGCATCAACTGAAAAGACTTACTGTAAGTTTTATGGCCTTCTCTGGGGCAACTCCCAGTAACTGTGGCAACAGACCTAAAAAGCAACAAAAAGTAGAAGTATATTAAATAAATTACCGTTAACTAAACTAATCAGCAGCTCTAAAGAAGGGACCACCATCTAAACACTGGGGCAATCTCTGCTGAGATTTTAGGCTATTACTTTTAATGAGAATACTCGAAATGGAATGTGTAAGTACAAATGTGTCTAAGAGCCACATCAGGACCAAGGAAATTCCCACTCATATTCTGGGTCGTTTGCACATTGGGTAAATCAACAGTATTAGTGATACAGGAAATCTCATTATTCCATAAGTTTGTTCTTTTCCCTCCTGCCTCTTAAATATGTGAAATAAGTGTACTTTAGTGACTATATTATTTTTTTCTAACACTTTTCTCATCTGCCCACCCCCAGAGGCCCAGAGTTTAGCCTTTCATTCATTTAGCAACTATAACTTGGTGACAAGCACAAGACAAACAAGGTTCTCGCTCTGACCAGCCTCAGGCGGAAGGAAGGGAGAGGCTTTACTGAAGACGTGACACCTGGGGAAAAATGCATTCTGGAAGGGAACAGATAAGGCAAAGAAAGCAGAATAGGAACAAGCCCGGTGTGCTCAAAAATGAGGGTGAACATCGACGAGCCACCTGGCACAGAGCAGGCCCGAGGACAGGAACAGGTGGTGGCTGGACGCTATAGCCACACTGTAGGCCAGGACCCTAAGTCAGATGAGAAGTAATCACAAGCTTCCATCAGGAGAGGGATATGCTAATTCACAGTTTCAAAAGACCACTCTGGCTGCTGTGTGGGAAAAGACAGTGAAAAGTTCCATTTTGAGCGTGTTCGCCGAGTGGGAATTCTGCACCAGAGCACAGGAAGAGGTTGCCTTTGACAGGAAAGGGCCGCTTCTGGGAAAGGCGCTCCCAAAAGGAGCGGACCGACATAGGTATACTAAAAAATGTTATCATTTTCATTTGTTCTGAAGAAATAAAATGAAAGGCAGATGCCTTTTCTTAGAAACACAATGTGAGCTAACCTTGAGGATCAGAACGCATTGCTCTCCCATGTCACACTGCTGTCCTTGAGAGGGACTTCACGATGTTAGCCTTTGTCGGTAACAACACTTTTCTAACTGGTCAACCTAAGAAGGTTCACTTACAGTCTCTTCGGAGAGACCAGCCTGGCACACACCATCTTCCTAAGCCTGTGGCCAAAAGTCACTAGCCTGAGGGCTGTCTGTATCCAGTCTGCAGATGTGTTTTATTGAGTAGTACAAGGTTTCAAACGTAATTTAAGCTTACTGCAAAGATGTAAAGACAGATCGATCGATCGATGCATGGATCGATCTGACAGCCCTCGGCCTCTTTGACATTATAGCAATCTGCTACATTTGGGTGAGGCTCTGCCTGTTAGGACCCAGCATCAGTTCACTAAGGTCCCCCCACTCCCTAATGCCAACATGGGATTGAGGACAACTGTCATTCATCATTTTTCTTGCTCTGCTATCTTCACAAGAGAGAAATGTTTTTCTGTGCCTCTGGTTCTACAAAAAGCACAAAGAGCTTCCTGTTTTAGGAAAAATGGGAGAAAGCTCATTTCATTGTGGAACTCAATGACAAGGATGCTGATGCTAATGAAAATGTTCTTTAAAAACAGCTGACCTAAAAACAGCTAACGTATTACTTATGACGTATCAGGCACCACCTTAAGCACTTTACTGACTCATTTAATCCTTATAACCACCCTGCAGAGAGGAAACTGAGGCACACAAGAGATTCATCCATTCTGAATCACCCAGCTAATAAATGGTTAGGGTGGGATTCCAACCTGAGCCCTCCTCCTCAAGAGTCCATGTTTTTAGACAAGACTCACCTGTCCTATGCCCCACGGCAAAAATGTAACTGCCTCTCACACCCTGCCTTTCTTCACGTACATAACCTGCCTGATCCTGGATTTGAGTTTGCAATGTCTTCTCTAGGCCACCATATTTGGAGCCTGCTTCACCCAGGCCCACAGGTGGTCACACAAGGATAAGAAACCTAAAACACGTGCAGGCCATGAGTCCAGCAACCCGGGACCTCTGAGCTGGTAGCGAGCCAGTGGGGAGTGTTCGCCCAGGAGCGCGACAGAGCCCTGAGAGTGAAGAGCCGGTCAGCACAGAGGCAGAGACAGAGCAGACGCCCTGCGGAGTCGGGAGGGTGGCGGCTGAAACCCTGGGTGGCCTACTGCCTCGATGAAACATGAGGAGCAGAAGCATAAGAAAAGAAGTGGACGGACAGACAGAAGAGAATGTGAAGCCAATGCAACAGAGACACCAAAGAGAGAGAACACAGCCCATGAAGGGTGCACAGGTGGGGAGAGTGGCCCTGACCATCTTCTGGTCCCTCTGAGGCCAGGTCCCAGGGACATTCCTACCCTGGAATCACTAGGAGATCTCTGTCTTCTTTCTCTCTCGAGGAAACTCTTAACCAAAACTGCTTTCTCTAGTTGGAGGCGGGCTATGCTCTTTATAATCTAAATGAACCAAAGCAGCACAGAAAACATGAATACGAAACCATCTGGGCCAAGCAAGTACTTATTCAAAGTGAGCACTCTCTCCTCCTAAACTACATTCACTTATGAATCTTTTACTTACAACAAATGACAGAATACGATGTCTCTAATATGAGGAGAGAGGCTTTGTTATGACTTTATACAACTACAATGCTAATTTCTACAGGTAAAATATAGGGATGCACTGTTTTAACTACACCTTAACATTTACAATTTCCATTTTCCTCTGTATTCAGGTCAGGTACCAAAATGTTTTGTTAAATATTTACTCGCTAGATGTATTTTTCTCATCATTAAATTGTAGACCAAAACCATGGATGGGCTGAAAGCACTGTGATTTAAATGATGATCTCTTGTCTCTATAACTACCCCATGACAGTCTTTTAAAATGACTAATAAAAAACAGCCCACAGAGCCAAATGACTACAGTGTTAGACACAATCACTTCAGCCAGCCTTTTAAGCTATCGACATTTGTCTTTCCCACTCTAAATTTAGTAATGTACCGTGAACAGCAAAAAACAAAACCAAACAAAAGAGAAAACCCTGTATTTAAGACTAAATATAGGGCACCAAATATTTATTTGTTCAGCAAACATTTACCGAGTGCCTTCTGCGCACCTGGGACTGGAAGGAATTGGGATGGACACAGTAAAGTCTGTGCCCTCCCCCCTGCCCCAAGAGAAATTCTCAGTGTAGAAGAAAAGGGAACCCCTAGGTATCTCTGTGTGCCCCCAAAGGGAGATAAACCAATTAAAAAAAAGAGGGGTGAGAAGCAGAGCCAAGAGGCATCAAAGAATTATGTGAACACAGTGGAAAGAACCAGTTGTTTCCTGGAAGAGGAAGGAGAGCACCCTGGGTCTTGAAGGCAAGGCAGAGGTTCACCAGAGAAAAAAGATGTGGGTAGAACACAGGGCGCCGTGGCCAGTGAGTGAAAGGCACCGAAGTCTGAAGAGCATGGCACAGTCAGGGTTGGGTCAAGACCACTGAAGGCTGTGGCTGGATCATGGACCTCGTGATAAGTAACCACAGTAGTGACAGTGACAACGGCCAGTATTCGGGGGCACCTCCCACATATCAGGCACTATTCTACAGGCTTTAGGTGAATCAACACATTTAATCCACACAAGTCAAAACAGTAACTCAGTGCAAGTTATTCTTAACCCATCAAGAGAAACTGAAACAGACTTTACGGAGCCTACCCAAGGTCACTCAGCTGTTAGATGGGGGAATGGGTTCAACCCAGGCGGTCTGGCTGGAGGGGGTGCTCCTATCTGGTGCATCGTACTGCTTCTCTCCCCGGGCACACTAAGGAGCTTGGGCCAAATTCTGCAGATACATGGGGTGGCTTTTAAAGTAGAGACTGAAGTTCAAAGAGTAAAAAGTTCTAGAGGCAAGTGAAGGACAGATGCTAAGGGCAGAGACCTAAGGCAGGGAGAGTAATCAAGAGGTTAAAGTAATATAATCAGAGGCCCTGAGTTTCACTAAATGAGTAACTTCAACTCAGTAAGAATAAAACCAAAGTACAGATCCATTCCTAAGACTTGGGCCAGATGTTGGCACATGGGGACGCACTGGATAAGGACCATTCTTGTGGTGACTACCCTGGCTAAATAGGGAAACAAAGCAGCTGTGGACTGCAACCCGAACCGAGTGCCACTACGGACTTGGGCCTGGACACTGGCAGCCCCTGCGTAAATGCTCTCTGGAAGGGGTCATGATCTGTGGGACAGTGAAAAGTCACAGCAGTGGGAATTTCAAGAACCTTCCTGGTTCCCTGACTGTGGGGGTGGGGGGTGGGGCGGGGATGTGGCTCAGTAACGCCTAAAACAGCCAGTCTTGTTATGGCACTTCAACACGATCACAGTGAAGTTTAAAGTACATATATGTTTGACATCTGGGTAACTCAGCAGAAAAATTAGGCTTCTAATATAAGATGTTTCTGTTGGATTGTGGAAACTCATTTTAACAGAGAATGGATGTGTGTGTTGTTTCTAACTTGTCAAAACAGCAGTCTATTTTCCAACTGCCTCAAATGAAATTTATTAGTGTGGTTAGTTTTCTAATCTTCTCATTTTAGTTCAGCTCCATCAGCACATATGGCAATGCTTCCTTGGCAAACTTCACCAGAAGGCTGCTAATGCGAGAAAAGATTTACAGGGTACAACAATATAGTATTTTCTCTTCAAATTTCATAGGGTTGAGATCTAAATCACACTAGCCCCTCTGATCCCAGTCCCTTGTGTAACCCAACAAGAACTGCACTAGACATGTGGGGACTAAGCCCACATCAGGAACCTCCAACGTGAGCTCCCTACAGCACCCCAAAGAGGTTCCTGGAGCCATGTGCTGGATCAGAGGGCTGCTATGCTATTCTTTGCTTAAAAACCTTTTAGAAGCAGAATTCTAGAATCTCAGAGTTGGAAGGGACTCTGAAAGAAAACTCATTAATAATGCTGGCCTAATTGAAGCGATTTATTTCCAATG